CCCTATCCCCCAGCCTTTCGAAGGCGGAGTTTCGGGAGGTCACCGGCCGGATGTTTTTTCCTTTCTTCTTCTTGTGGGCCCTCGGAATATCCCACTCGCCGTCATCACTCTCAATTGAGACGCAATGACCATCAGGAGTGATCTGCGTATTCGTAGTTTGCGGGGGACGCGACGGCCCTGCGGCGTTAAGTGCGCCGGTCAAGTTGACAGGGGCCATGGTGCTGACCAGCTGGGGCTGGAAAGGTGATGGCTGCGGCATCGGCGTCTGGAACGACGTCACCGCCATCAGAGCTTGTAGGGGCATGGTTCCCGCGCCTGGAAGGGCGAATGGGAACATACCAGGGAGGAAAGGCATCCCCCCGCTTTGCTGGCACATGGCCATGACCTGGCCAAAGCCCTGGATGGCTTGTAGGTTGGCTGGGTCATTCATGAACTGAGCCATGCTTGGTGGGAACGTAACCCTCGGTCCAGCGGAAGGGACAGGGGTCGCGAAGGGACTGATCACGCTGGCCGTCGGGACCGAGCTCAGACCCAAAGGCAACACCGGGGCTGAAATGACCGGTATGGCAGCAGCCACAGGGATGCTGGCTCCCTCGTTGGTGGCCTGCACCTGAGCGGAAGTAGCGTTGATTTGTTGGCTGGAAGACATTTCGAGTGGTGTTTTGGTGGGTAGGTTTGTGTTTGGAAGAGAAGAAACCTTAACGGTCCCACGGGTGGCGCCAAAAATGATGGTGTAAATTACTTGACCGGTCAAACTATACTAGACCGGGTCTAGAATAGTTTGCTTGATTTGGTAAAGTAAGAAAGGTAAAAACACGCAAATTGACCGGTAGGACTTTAGGTGGAACACCTGTAGCCAAGTTATATTATAACGGAGAATGCACGGGTGCTTTTACAAGGAAGTTTAGAGAGAATGAATTCGGATCCCTCTTTCTGAGGTTTACATGAGTATTTATACTAGGCTATGGGGGACAAGACCACGTGCGCCCACGTGGGGGCATGCTGCTGATGTGGTGCGAGGTGACTGGTTTCGTCCTCGAGCTGCCTTGTCGCCTTGTGAGGGGGATCATTCCCTTTGTCGAGTAGTGCCTTGGATGGATTCTTCAGCATCTCCAGTTGTCCTCTACTGACACGGGTCGCTACACGCCAAGCCCTCGCAGATCCTCTTCTGCCGACACTTTCCAACCCCAGAAACTATACCGGGTAATCTCCGAGGGATGAATTCATCGAAGTCTGGAATAAATAGGATGACAACGTAGTTTGACCGGTATACTTTTTTGTGAAGTATACCGGTCATATTTTGGCCGATGATATATCGTTTTGCTGACGATTTAAGTCTCCCTTCCAAAACTTTCGAGATTGACCGGTCAAAGATTTGGCCTTCTCTTTTGACCGGTTGTGGGTGGAATACACCCATCATAATCGAATGATTTTTTTAAAAACTTCATTTTTTCTAACGTTTTCCAGTTTCTTTCCATTTTCTTCCAATTGTTTTTCAATATTCAATTTTGTTTTTAGGACCTAATTGAACATAGCCTTAAGAGTAAAAAAAGGCAAGTTGAATTGGAAAAGCAAAAAGAATAGAGAATTTGGCATAGGCAAGGAATGCTGAGGGGTAGACTTGAGTTTGATTTCTGACAACTGTGTTAGGAGCAACTCTGGTTAATACTCCCTCCGTCCCATAAAACCTTTCTCCTTTCTTTTTTCATTCGTCCCATAAAACACTTCTCATTTCTATTAAAAAGTCACTTTTACCCCTTACTTTTTCATACCCTACCTATCACATCATACCTTTTTACTAATAATTTACCCATCAAATCATACTTTTGCCCATCACATCAAAGGACATTTTTGGAAATTTAATACCAAAATACACTCCCTTAAATCTCTTCAAAAAGTAAAACATCCCATATTTCATGGGACGGATGGAGTACTTTATAAATTTTCCAGCAAGTATCAAGTGCAGGCTTTAGTCTCTGCCACTAATATACGATTTAAGTCTAATTTGCCTTTTCTTATTGACTGTCTGATCAAGTCTGAGGAGACGGGTGAAAAGAATAGAGAAATGATCAGGCCAAGATGATGTGACGCAATCACTGATATCATAAAATTGTAGGTAGATCGTATAGAAAATTTACCCTAAGAGAATATTGACTTTTGTCGTCGCCTAACCAGCATGGACTTTGTTCCTCATAAAAAATAAGTACTCAAACCGACAAAACTTAATTGCTCACTTTCTTAGTTCTATTCATTCCCTTTATGAGTAGTTAATTAATTGCTGTAATTTCAAGCATATCATTGAACAATACAGCTTTAGGTTATATTATAATCACTTGAATGAAACACCAAAATTGGCACTAATTTAATGAAGACATTCACACGTAAATGTTGCACGTAAAATCTTAGAGCACGCAAAAAATGGTCAGTGATAGTGATATTAAAATATAGAAATATTATTAGAACTAAACTGAATGATTCCGTTGCGTAAATAATGGGCAACGGTGCGTGACCAAGCATACAAACAACCAAAAATTGATAAAGACTGACTCACATGCGGGACGACTAGCAAATGGATAGAATTTTACCAGAGAGAGGCGTGATTTTGCGACCAACCCCACACACAAATATACTGGATCGAGGTGCGACTATGTGACCAATTAACCTTACAAGCAAATATGTCGGGCTGAGGTGCGACTATGCGATCAACCTCAGAAACAAATATGCCGAACATACGACTAGTTGCAATTGAACATACCAAATAGCAACAAAAAGACAATGTCATAAAAATTATCACCAACACTAGCTCGGTCTGAACATGAAAACCTTCTTTTGCGGAGTACCAAGGAAGCAAAACAAAACCAATGGAGCAATTTGCGGCACAAAATTTGTGCAATTTTTCAGAGAGCAATTAAACATGCACCAAATGAAATTTTGCAAACAATACCTACAAATTCTTTAAATTAAAGAACCAGCTGAGAGTAAGCATGCATATATGCAAACCACAAACCTTGAGTTTGTAAAAATGAATTATTGCAATTTGTTAACATCCCAAGGAATAGTATTTTACCTATTAAGATTTTTGTTTGCTCCAATCACAATTGCTAAGATTAGCTAAACTATGCATCTTTGGTGTTTTGCCAATTGGTATTTTACCAAATGTGATTGGTAGTCATGGCAATTCCAATTGGTATTTTACTAAACATTGGAGCTCAATAAAATAAAAAGGGGTCGGCATATGTGAATAACAATTACTACGGAAAATTTTACGGAGTATTAATTTACCAAATCCTATGGAGTTGCTCTAAGGGCTTACTCCTTATTAGGAAAAATGGCATTCTAAAAATGAGAAAGTATAAAATGATAGTAGTGTTATTGAGCTCATTTACTTACATCGATTTGTTTGAGACATCTAAAATGTACTGATGGTAAAAATGATGATTTCTACCCCACCTAATGCCACTTTAAACCCCCACCCCAACCCTTTCCATACCTTTGGCAGTGTATTGTTAGGACTTAGGATAGGAACTAGGAAGGGAGTAGGGGAGGCAGGGGTGAGATTACAAGGGTGTAAGAACTATGTACACTAATTAAACGAAATAACGTGAGTAATTTTTGTATGCGTTGCTGGTGTTATTTTAGACGCCCTCTTTAAGAATTGTGAACTTTACATAGATTTAAAATTTCAAAAATTGATTTATAATGTTTGAATTTTATCCCAAACATTAATCAAAAACATAATTTTTCAAACAAAAGCTAAAGAAATTTTCCAAACTTGAGTATATTATCTCTATCTAAGAACATGAACAATGGTGAGGCAAAAATGGAATGCCATACGCTGACGTGGAGCATTTCAACCAATAAAAAATAGTCTAGTCAACGAGTGGCACGTGAGTGGAGTGGCATGCCTTGCAGTGGCAAGTCATTATTTTCATCCATTTTTTTCATATATTTTTCCATATTTGAATTATTAAAAGTTATTTTATTTATATATTTTTATCATGAAAATATTTCTATTTACTCAAATAAATAATTATATATATATATATATATATATATATATATATATATATATATTAACTATTAAAAATGTTTTTGTTATCTACTCCATATTTTTATTTATTCCTTCATCTCAATTTAGACTATTATTTTAGAATTACGATGCAAAAACTCTTTGTTTCTAAATATCATTTTATTTAAAAATCATTATTTTTCTCAATTTTTAAACTTTTTAAACGTATTTTAATTATTAAAAATTATTTTACTTATCCTTTTTTCATAAAAAAAGATGTACTCCTTTAAAAAATCTTTTTTTGCAAAAAATTGAAAAAATACTCCCTCCGTCCCAAAATATTTACAACATTTGTTTTTTCAGAAGTCGCGGAAACTTTTGTTTATTTCTATGTTTTCATTGGTTATTTGATAAAATAAAACATTATTGACACCTCTTATTTTGAATAACTTTTAATGTAATTTTTTATATGTAAACTCTATTTTTATTTCTATTCCAATATGTAAATAAAATGAATTGAAAAAACTTGATACTTTATTTCGAGGATACAAGTGTGACAAATATTTAGGGACGAAGGGAGTTGATGGGAACCCATTGGCACGGTCATGACTCGCAGATAGAGGAGGTGAGGAATGCTCTGTCCACGCATGTTGATGCTCTAAGAAAATTCCAATGGAATGATCACTTTGGTTGGGATGAAGGTCATTACTAGTTTAAAAATGCAATCTTTACATCCCATAAATGATATTTTACGTTTTGATTTTTGTTTTAAAATTCATCCCAACCAAAGTGAGTTATAGCTTTGACGTTAATATTCGCGTAGGAACTACCTTGGGATTCAAATAGGAAATAAATTATTATTTAATTTCCTTTAAATGCGAGAGAGTGTATGCATTTAACTATTTAAGTTAATTTTGGGAGGGAAGTACTGTATTAACTTTTACGACGGGGACCGAAAGAAGAAATGGGCAAAGTGGGAATTGCAATCAAAATGGCGATCTGTGTTGTATTATACTCGTATATACATAGAATCCAGAAATGCATCCCCCGGAATTAAACTCCATGGATTTATAACCTTTTTTTTTATCATCGATTTCCAGAAAGTTTGAAAATGTACTGAAAAAGGAATCGATCGGAAGAACAAGTTGATGAGAATCGATCGGAAGCAGAATGATAATGAACTGATCTAATTAACAGGGTAGGTAGGTAGGTAGGTAGGTACAGACGATCGAGATTATTGATCAATCAAAGCCACAAGGCGCCGGCTTCTTTCAACACCGGAGTCAATTCGCCGGTGATATGAGCGCCGATAACCCGATCCAATCCCCCGAACAGCCTCCCGCCGACGAAAACAGCCGGGAACTGCAACCGGCCGTCTTTCGGGTCATAATCCCCGATATCCTCCAGCGCCTTGATCAAATCGCTCTCGCGGCCTTCGTCGGCCTCGTAGATCGCCGGATTGGCGCCCAGTCCGTGGAGGAGGCGCTTCGCCACGTGGATCATGCAGCAGCCGCGCCGGCCGAACACGATCACGGCGTTCTCAGCCACCGTCTTCCTCAGATCTTCGGTTTGCGGTGATGGCGGATCGGATTCGGCGCTCATCTGCGGCGGCGTGGAGGTTAATGGGCCCGCAATTGGCCATGTCTGGTTAGGGATTGCCGCTGCTTTCTGCATGGTTCGATTCGATCGGATGCGGAATCCAATCCAAAAAACAGAGATTGTAGATTGAAATGAGCTTTTGGATGCTTTATTATTATTATAATTTACAGAGGAATTGATGAATACAGAGAGGGATGTGATGGAGGAGAGTGGGTGAAGAAGGGAAAGTATATATGCATACAAACGCGGGGTGGGGGTGGGGGTGGGGTTGGGGTAGCGGAGAAGATAGAGTTTGGGCGTCGTTACGTCACGCGTTACATTCGTTTGTAGGCCTTCGTCAGATTATGTCATCCAGCTTTTCACCTACTGGGCCCTTCTACGTTTGTTTACCCAAAAATAGAGTAATGCTAGAGTCACAAACTACTGGGACACAAATTACACAAACTTGCTATTTATGTATCTCAATTTTCATTTTGTAAGCATTTAATATCACTTTATTCAATTGGAAAAGTACAAAAATAGCAAGTTTGTGTAATTTGTGTCCCAGTAGTTTGTGACTCTAGCATTACTCCCAAAAATAATATTCCCTCACTCCCAAAAAGTCTGTCCCGTTTCGAAAAACTTGTATCCCTTAAAGTCTTTCTCATTTCTACCCAATTTATTTGCAACACTTCGAACGACGTGCAAAATATCATCTCTTTTAAAATCACTTTAATTTCAAATTAGTAGAGTAATAAAAAGTAAAAATTACACCATTTAAAAGTATATGAAAAGCTCTACAAAACAAGATGCGACAAGAATATTTTATTTTATCAAATGGTCAACCAAAATGAGTAAACAAACAAAAGTTATCGAGAGGCCAGAATAGTAAACGTGGCATTCTTTCTAGGACGGAGGGCGTATTAAAAAACCACTTTTACCCCTTTTTCATACACAATCTATCACATCATACCTTTTCCTAATAATCTACCCATCACATCATACTTTTACCTACCACATCAAGAGTATTTTTGGAAAATCAACACCAAAGTATCCCTCCTTATTTTACCACTTTAGTGAAAATGTCCTCATCTTTTTTGGACGGAGGGAGTATATGAGTATACATTTAATTACGTTATCATTATTTTTTCTTATTTCAAGATAATACATTACTCTGCATGCAGACGACGCACATGAGTCTTCTTAACCGCCCAACACTCTGCCCCATATAACATAGCAGGTCTGACTACGGATCGATAGAACTTACCTTTCATTCTAGGCGAAATCTTCGGATCACACAACACCCCCGAAGCTAACCGCCATTTGGCCCAAGCCACTCCAACATGATGTCCAACATCTGCATCTAACTCCCCATCCGCTTGGATTACCGAGCCAAGATATCGAAACCTGTCTACCTTAGGTACAAATCATGAAATCAAAAGACTTACGACTTGTATGAGAATAATGTTAGAAGTTAGCGCAAGAGTTTTTTAAGTGAATCTGTACCGTTAAAATTTTATCCACGCTAATCAAAAATAATACTCCATCCACTCTTTAAAACAATTCCTCTTTCATTTTTTTTGTTTTCCCAAAAACACTTCCATTTTTGTAAAAAATGGTTAATATATCTAAATTAAATTTTTACAATATACTTCATTCAATTTGCATTTATATAATAAGTCATTTAAATAATTTGTCTCTCTTTTTTCTTCGATAATAAGATTATAATTAAAAGGTCAAGCTATGAAATTAAATCTCTTCCAAGTCAAAACAGGAACTATTTTAAGGAACGGAAGGAGTATTTCCAAACGAGCCCTTAATCATTCTCAATAAATCCATTGCCAGTCCCAAGTGCTAATTATGGGGGGACATATCCCAGTGGATTCGATTCATTTTATTTTTTTTATACGAAAAAACTTCATTTTTTAGCTTTCGGAAGAAATTTCCTCTCTCAAAAAATTGGTATCCACCCCTCAATAACATACATGAATTCCTTTAAATCAAAAATAAAGAATGATAATCAATTTAGATTTGATAACATGTTCATATTAAAAATTAGATTAGAATTCATATAGATTTTGTTTTATGTGGACCTCCCCTTCTAGTTTTAGCTCGGAAATGAACTCATCCATCCTCAATCCACAATTGAGCAAATCTCGAGAATGCTAAATTAGAGATTTGCTACTTTATTTTTAATATTGTTAAAATAAATTATTATACATATCAAATAAGTGCTTTATAAAGAATATTACGCTTTACAAATACAAATAAGTACTCTCTAATTGTTTTAAAAGTTCGTCATTCTTAATACAATTCATTTTTTCATATACGGTGTTCCGTTCTACTCATTATTTATTTTAAGGGCAAGGTTCCCATGACATTGCCGGGCAATGTCATGGGATGACTCGGGGCCGCTCTAGTGTCCCGTTCGTAAAATTGACGGTTTCTACCCGCCCTAACCCCCCGGTAAACCCCTCCACCCCGCCCCGACCCGAACACACCCCCCCCACCCCCTCCAATTGCACCCCACAAGTTGATTTTGACTTTGGAGTCAAAATTCAAATTTTGACTCCAAAGTCAAAATCAACTTGTGGGGTGCAATTGGAGGGGGTGGGGGGGGTGTTCGGGTCGGGGCGGGGTGGAGGGGTTTACCAGGGGGTAGGAACCGTCAATTTTACGAACGGGGCCCTGGAGCGGCCCCGGGTCATCCCATGACATTGCTGGGCAATGTCATGGGAACCTTGATGTTATTTTAAATTACACGAACAAAATTGTCAGAAACTTTACAAATTTATCATTTTAGATTTAAATTCTCATTTTAAAATTATTTTAGTCTACTTTATTTTTTTTGTTGAAATTCACAAATAGCAAGTTTGTGACGATCTTATTTTTGTGAACCAAGCATTTCGCAAATTACACTGTTATTAAAATTAGTATTCGGCAAACGAACTTAAATTTCCCTTCATTGTTTATTCAAAATAGTTTAAATCTCGTAAGCAAAATACTGAAAATAGAATAATCTTTATGTTGTTTGCTCGTTTTAAACATTTAGATCTCATAAATCCAAAGGAAGAAAAATATTTGTCTGTCTATTCACTTTATTGTTTATGTTAAGAATGAATTTCATAATTGGTACTTTATAATAGGGAGGTTTCCTTATTTGGTCATCTATTATCAAATATTACCTTTGTAGTTCTTCTTTTATGGATATCTTTCTACAAATTGTCATTTTTTATCTTCTGTCATGTTGGTGTTAACTTAAAGGTTAGAAGTATAATTGTTAGGCGTGTTGTAGCACCTAAAAAATTAATTAATTATTTTCCTTTACTCAATTCCTTCTTGTTAAAATAATATTTATTAAATCTGTAGATAGGATAAGTAAGAATCGATCCCACGAGGAAAAATACTTTTCAAGTTATGAAAATCGGTTTACTTTGTTACTTTTTATTGAATAAAAACAACTATCTAAAATCTATAAACTAAACTAGAAGATAGGGGGGGTTTGAAAAGGTGTTTTCTAAATACAGTAAAAAAACTAAGTGACACACCACACCAGAACAAATCTCAAAACAAACATAGGGTAAAAATAGAACATAACTCCACCAAGAAGTCCAAACAAAGAAGACAAACACACATAACACAATAATTTAAAGACTTAAACAATTTTAGAAAATCAACAAATTGTTTTATATAGAAAATAAATATCTAGGATCAAAACTTTGATAAAAACTAGCATAATCATCAACCAACTGTAAATTAAAACAAGGGTTAGCAACACCAAGGTTATTTAACAAAATCAATTTGAGAACCTTGATTAGCAAAAACCACTAAACGAGGCGGCCTATGTTAATCAAGTGACACTTGGTTTCTAGAAAAGTTCGGCTATTTAAAACACTTTGGACTTTAAAAGAATATCATTTTAAATTGGATTAGGTCGCGATCCTAATTTGTCTCAACTTAAGTAAAATCAAACACCTTTGGTTTGTTTTAACAGTAGCAAAAAGCTTAAATTCTTTTAAGAGTAATAAACTTGTTGGAAAAGTTCAAACACATAGACATCACTACAAAAAAAACGCGGGATTGGCACGGCTTTTGGCACGAACAACAGTTTTAGTTTCCCGTGGCTATGCTATAAGGCACGGGTTTTGGCACGGATACGAAAGGCTGCCAATTTCGAAGCTCCAAACTGTTTGGCACGGAAATCACGTCCGTGCCAACAATAGAGACGGCGTCGCTTGTAACAAATTCGTTCCAAGGTAACGGTTGCAAGAATAACGTTAAAAATATTAGGCACGGATCTGCCCGTGGGAATCGCCCCGTTCGTATTTAGGCACGACTAAACCACGGATTTTTTTGTCTCGATAGCATTTATAAAATATTGCAATAGGCACGGTACATTTCCGTGCCAAAAAAGCCACGTAGATATCCGTGCCTTTATTTTGGAACTTTTCAAAATATTCAAAAAATTTCAAAATTTTCAAATACGCGGGGAATTATATTTCGAAATTCAATTTTTTAGTCACGGCCATATCCGTGCCTTGATTTTGTAAATTTTCAAAATATTCAAAAATATTCAAAATTTTCAAATACGCAGGGATTAAATTTCGAAATTCAAATATTTTGTCACTGGCATATCTGTGCCTTGGATTTCAAAAAAATAAAAAAATTTAATTTTGTCACGGATTTATCCGTTCCTTAGTTTTTGAAAAAATAAAAAAAACAAAATCGAAAATAAAAAAATAATTCATAACACACCATAATTTAAATACGTAATAAATCACTCGCAGCATAATAAAGTAAAAATAAAATTAATGTCCACAATGAAAGTAATGTCTAGCATCCAAACGAAGATCACACACAAATGTTAATAAATAATTACAGATTTTCATTGTTTAGAAAACTGTTAACATCCCAGTTATTTGAATTTTGCCCCCTCGATTGAACGTTTGGCATTTGGGGGACGACTGTAGGTTGTTGAAAAACAGGCACGGGAGACATCAAGGGCTGCGAGGCACAATAATAAGATGGGGTCATATGTTGATGAAGCAAAGGGCTTGGACTTCGTGGGGGTTGCAATGTCGGACGAAGAACCTGGAAACTGAGGCCTTGGGTCAAATAATTGACCGACTCTTTCAACCCCTGAAATTGACTTAACAAATCATGGGATTGAGCCTGATATTTCTTCTCTAAATCGGCACTTTTTTCCTGAAATTTTGCTTCAAATTTTTTCTCCAATTTTAGCTCCAATTCGGTCTTCAGCCGGGCAGTGTAGTCTTCATGACTAGTGCCTCCCGAAGAAAGTGATTCCGAGGATCCAGCTTCACAG